CTACAGCATCATCACATGTACCTGCTGTGTGTCTGGAGGATGAGGAGAGTCCTCACTGTCTACAGCATCACCAGAGGTACCTGCTGTGTATTGGGAGGATAAGGTCATCCTTTACAGTCTCATCTCTTTGGAAATGTGACCTCAGACCAATGGGTACAGAAGGATTCTAAAAGTACCCCAGCTAATTAAAATGAAAAGTTGTTTTTTGTCTCATGTGGCTCTAGTGAATGCAATCCAACACCTGACTGTCCGTATCCAGCACACTACTGTGAAGATTAAAAGCAATAACCCCCTGTGAACAGTGTACACAATGTAACCCGCCTCTGGCTGCAACACTCCCAAGGCAAGTGGGAGACGCTACAACGTGTTCCTTCTTCAAGTAATGTCTTCACCGTGAACCCACTGCGCAGATTGATCTTACAGGCTTTGACTTGATTTTGTGCATTTTTAATGATTATATGCTGCCCTCATGCATTACTTAAAGCTTTATGAGTGCAAGAAATTCCTCTCTCCAACCACGCAGCAGTTGGCACTTCATGTAATGCTTCTTGTGCCCACAGGATGGCAGTAGTACGTCATCAATTGTGCTGCGTGGTGCCTGGGACCTGGAGAGAGCTCCCTATCCTTCAGAGAGAAATGCAACAAAATATTGACCACATATATACACATTCTCTTGAGGAAGGACTATATTGATAGGTTAATTCTCCTATGGGAAGTGAAACGAATAAGAGCAACAAGTAATGATCAATTTTCCCTGTCACCTAGAAGGATATGAAGGGTGTTATTTGCAGACCTCCAGCTCCTAGGATGGGAGCTGCAACGGACTACAGAATTACAGATATAATTGAAAAAAGAGAGACAAAATCCAAGCAGGAGACTAAGGACCCATTAGATCTTACTTCTGTTACAGGCAAGTATAGAAACAATAGTTACAGGACAGCTACATTTCAGGACCATGCGAAGAATACTAAATCTAAATGGCATTTTAACTGGTCAACTATCCTGGTAGAATTATTTGGATAAGCAGCTAGGATAGAAGATAAAGCTAAAGCACGGGACATGAACCTCTACCACTTCCAGAAGGTTTTTGAAAAGGTCTGTCATGAAAGTGGGTTCGGAATTGAAAAGCTTCAGGAAACCAAGATCATGTCTGCACACGGACAGAGCCATTATTAACAAAAAGGAAACCGTCTTTTCTGAAGGGGCACAGCTTCGACGTGGAAAAGCTGCAGTTTGGTTTGCTTTTGAGCAGTCAGGGGGAGATGATTCGCTTCAGACAGCAGCCCAGTGTGGTCGGGCTCTGACACAACTGAACCGCACCAGGGAGTCAGCAGGGAGCGGGGTATTTGCACGCCAGTAAGAGAAAGTGGGCAAGATAAGGGTTCGACCATCTGGCTTCTGAATAAAACTCCAGTTCTTGTCGCTCCTGGTTGTGTCTGAGATGTGGAAAACCTTTTCAGTTGAAGTCCTTATGTTCCCATCACCAGCATTACAAGACTAAAAACACCATCAAATGTTAGTAGAAACTGTGGCCTTTGCACTACCAGGGCAGTGAAACTCTGGGGGCTTTTAGCCCAGTAGCATGGGGAACATGAGGGAGACACACCCCAGTCTTGGCAGCAGGAGGGTGGCTAGGGTTAACACATGCTCAGCTGGTCTCTCACCTCCGACTAACAGCGTCTTTATTTTCACTGAGCACTTCAAGTCTTCCCATACTTCCCAAAATGCATAATTTACTGTAATGTACAGTCACTGCCAATCTACTTGTTACTCACTGTTTCATTCAGCTTGACAGCTCAGGGCTTCACACTGTCCAGAACAGTCATTTAGATTTGAGAAAAGGCTGCTGGGGAAGAGCCCCACATTCACAAATCTGGATAAATGGATTTTAATTGGCTATTCTGACACCTGCAGCACAGGGCGCAGCCTCTGGGACTTGTTAATGAATTGCAATGTGATGACCAGCTGTCCTCAACGAATTCGTTTATACATGTATGTTCTGTAGTAAGAGAAGGAATAATAGATGAGCTTAGTGAAATGCAAGGTTGTTCCAGGTAATATTTAATAATAATCATTCTTTACACTTATATAGCACTTTTCTAGACACTTCACTCAAAGCACTCTACAGGTAATGGGGACTCCCCTCCACCACCAGCAGTGTGCAGCCCCACCTGGATGATGCAACGGCAGCCATAGTGCGCCAGAACGCTCACCACACATCAGCTCTCAGTGGGGTGGAGAACAGAATGATGGAGCCAGTTCAGAGATGGGGGTTATTAGGAGGCCATGATTGGTAAAGGCCAGGAAGAAATTGTGGCCAGGATGCCGGGGTTATACCCCTGCTCTTTTTGAGAAACCCCCTGGGATTTTTAATGACCACAGAGAGTCAGGACCTCGGTTTTACGTCTCATCTGAAAGACGGTGCCTTTTTACAGTATAGTGTCCCCTTCACTATACTGGGGCATTAGGACCCACATAGGCCGCAGGGTGAGCGCCCCCTACTGGCCCCACTAACACCTCTTCCAGCAGCAACCTTAGTTTTTCCCAGGAATCTCCCATCCAGACACTGACCAGGCTCACACCTGCTGAGCTTCAGTGGGCTGCCAGTTACCAGTTGCAGGAAGATGTAGCCACCAGTGGAAAAAAAGCATTCTAAATGTATAAGAAGGATTTTCAGTTGAGAATAGAACATGCTTCTGATTGAAAGGAAAGAAAGAAGTTATCTGGACACTCCACTGTGCCATTCACTTGACTGTAAGTTTCCACACAGTTGTTCTCACGTCTCTGAGAGTTCAGTTTCACCGCGTGAAGACTGTCTGCTGGCTGTCTTGTGTGC